AGGAACGTTTGTTCACCAGAGCCCCCCAAGGGATGACGAGGTCGAATGGGTATATACTACTGCAAGGCCGTTTCAGGCTGGACATAAGGAATAAGTTCTTTATTGTCTGGGCCCCCAAGGTCTGGAACAGCCTGCTATTGGATGTGGTTCAAGCACCTACATTGAACACCTTCAAGAGCAAATTGGATGCTTATCTTGCTGGGGTCCTATGACCCCAGCTGACTTCCTGGCCTTTGGGCGGGGGGCTGGACTCGATGATCTTCTGAGGTCCCTTCCAACCCTAATGTCTATGAAATCTATGAAACACTTATTGTTATGTGACAATAGTTGCAAGTAGTAGACATAGCTGCAGAAGTCAATGGCTAAGGAATACTTTATTTTGTCCAGTCTCTAGCTCTTCCATTTGCACAACATCTTTGTATTTGTTCAAAATGTGGCTTCAAGAGTTAACAGCATTTTACTTGTGCATTTGTATTGCTTTTTCTCTTTCTCCTACTATGAATTTCATTTTGGTGGTAAAGCTGAAACAGCAACAGAGCAGCCAGGAAATATGCCCCAGATGTTGTAATAAGCTTGGAACAAATTACAGTGTTTCAAACGCAATGCAATTTTTTTTGTCTTTCCTCCAAACCTAATTTATTTGCCTCTGTCCGATCCCACATCTCAGCCTCTCTCCCCCTTCATTTCTTCTTGGATGTTTTGCTGTCACCTTAAACATAGCATGGACAAAAGCCAGCTTATCTTTTCCTAGAAAATTACCCTCTACACTCCTATTTGCTGTCACTGTCACCATCTTCCCTGTTATTTCAAGTCTGTAGCCTGGGGGTTCAGCTTTGACTGCTCCTTCTCCTTTGCCCTGAATATCCAGGGTGTACCTAAATCCTCTCACTGCTGCTTTCTACACATCTCTCAGATTTGCCAGCCAGTCAGAATTCTCATCCATGCCTTCTCATCTTGTTTTGATTACTGTAACCTCTCGATTGTCCCCTCCAGCCCTTTTAAAACCCAAGTACATAAATCACTTTCTTGCATTGCTTTGACCACATCATTTTCATCGTTCACCCCTCCACTGGCTCCTCCTGTGTCACTGCATCAAATTCAGGTGCCATGTGCTCACCTTGAGGCCCTTCAGGACTCCATTCCTGTCTGCTTCTCTATTCACATCCCTTTACATATTGCCTTCTGCCTCACTGCCCTTTGCCAGCTTCTCATAGAAAAATATCACATGCATGAAACACCCACCCTGAACTGACCCTTAAAGTCACACCTGCTCTCCCATCAAAGCCCTCTTAAGACTCACTTCTGCTGCACCCCCTGTAAAAATGAGCTTATTACTGATGGGTTATAGGGGGGTGAGGGAAGCTCACATTGACTTTATGTATTTATGCTAGATTTAAAAACTGTCTATGCATATACCTGAATGATATAAATCTATTCTAACACTCTGTCCCTCCCCATTCACTTGTTACTTCTCTGTAGGCTGTAAACTCACTGGGGAACATGAGTTCTCAGCTTCCAGAACACATAACACAACAGTTTCCTGATCAGGGCATCTAGGCACTGTGTGGTAGTCTAAAGACAAAAGAGCAACAGCAGCAGCAAAGGAATGTAATGCTCTCCTGCAGTTCAGCTTTTAAAAGGTATCAGACATCCTGGAACAGGCTCTCCCCCAAGCCAGCATTTCAGTTCTCATGGGCAGACCCATTTCACTTGCCACTTAGAAATTCTTCCAGGCAGCTCTATATTAAGTGGGTTGTAAACAGAACCTAACACAACTAGAGGGTTGATATAATGTAACATAGCTCCACCATGTTCTCTATCCCCAAAACAAGCCAGACACATTCTTTTTCTATACTGTGCAAAGGAGTGGGAGGGGAAGACTTAAGACCTAGGGAGTGAACACAAAACACTGGCACCACCAGAGTGTTTCCCGCTCACAAGTGAATCCTCTGTTATCCATCCACAGCTAGTTTCCAGGCTCTTTATTCCACCTTAATGGTATAAAGGGGGCTGGATCTGTTGAGAGAATCTTGCCTTATGACAGCTCCATCGCGCAAGAGAATACACCATAACCTGTTGGGGCCTTCTATGAAGCTCCTTGCCAAAGCAGATTGTGTGGAAGCATTTCTCTCAGTGGAAGGACAGAAACACAGAGAAAGCCTTTGCTACAAAAAGTAGTAGTAATTTAAAAACATCACCTGTGCAGCTCTAGGGGCTTCAAGCTCAGTGTCTTTTCTGACCTCTAATGGTGCGTGTGTCCCATGTATCTTTTATTAGCCAAGCTTGTCCTACAAGAAAAAAATATTAAATTGCTGCAGAAGTCAGTAAAATTGACAATCATGTTAAATAAACAATTTATTAAAACACACCATTCTGATGAATACACTTAGGCTAATTGCATTCTTAATTTGGTGCACATTAGTACTAATGAAAAGCTTTTAACACCCAGTGAAGCATCGGATTCCTCAGTATCTGTTTGGCACCCTTTGGTGTGGTTGAAATGCCTGCGTACAATCTGTCCGTAAGGTGCATATACACCTACCAGCACAATAGGACTGGATCTAACAACAGAGCTTTTAATATTTTACAGGATTTTTTTGGCAAAATTTAATCTGTTGTAGCTTTATAGTCTATTTGCTGGAAAAATGAAAGAGGCAGAAGAAAAAATGAAAAAAAAATCTGTCTGTAACGCAGCCTAGTTAGTAGAGGGGTGCAGTGGAAAACCTGGATTCACTCTTTGATTCTGCCAATGGCTTGTCATGTGAATTTGAACAAATTTGTGCCTCTTTGTGCCTCAGTTGTACCACCTGTGACAGGGATAATGAAACTACCCTGAAGTGGAGTAAAGAGGCTGAATTGGTTATTGCTAAGGGCTTGGAGATCTTTGAATGAAAATTCCTATAACAGCAACGGTATACAGACAGACAGACACAAGAACTGAGCAATAATTCATAATTTCTTCTTTTCCTTTCCATTTCAAATGATATTTAACAATTATCTCTTGGCCAGCAGGGATATGTTGAGAGTGCAGGTTAATAAACAAATTAAGCTTGTTTTACCATTATTTTACCTCTTCTTTGATTCATCTCTCCCCTGGACCATAATTATATTTTCTTGCATAAAACATACCTTTCCCACCAAAAAACAGTGGGGGAAGACTGGGGTGAGTATTATATGTAAGAAATACTGATCCTGAAAATTTGGCAATGGGGGAGAAGTGGCAGCGTTAATTTCTGTATCTCTGGGATCCATGGCAATTAGCAGTCACCACTCCTGCACTGAGTCAGTGTACCAAGTTAGGCCACAGCTGAACCCAGCTCATGCTCCAGACTTAGATCAGGCTAACATACAGGGTGTGGCTGTGGCAAGACCCAGTACACTGAGTTGGATACAATGTATGCCCTTAGATCCAGTGCTGTAGATCAGGTTTGTGCACAGGGCCTGGCATGAGCCAGACAGGATGCACAGGGTTAGACCCAGCACGTGGCCCTAGACTCAGTGCAGGATCCAGCTGTGGCCAGACTCAGCCCAGGACCCCACGCCAGCTGGATCAAGCTGCAGCCAGACCCACTATCTGGCCCTGGAACTAGCGCAGAGTACTGACCCAACACGTGGCCCAAGAACAGGCATGCTGGTTCAGTTATTTACCCATTCTAGAAGGTAAAAAAAACCCATTCTTCAAGTTGTCTATAAAAACTAGGTGGCATATTCTATTCAAGGGTATGGTATAGATAAGAAAATGTATTATTTATACAACACCTAATGCAATTAGACTCCTGATACTCAACTGCAGACCAATAATGCCTGCCATTCAACAAATAAATAAAATGAAGTAATTTTTTTAACCGGTTTTATTCTGTGGCTTGATTCTAAACTCAAACTATGATTAGACAGGTGAGTCATACAGGCCATTCCTGTTCCTAGACTGAACGAGAGTACAGTCACTTCCAGCATGAATAACTGTCTGAGCAAATATTAAATCTGTTTTCCAGAAGTATTTGTGCACACAACTGTAGAGTTTGCCTCCTGGGACAATTTCTGTGAAGAAAAATCTAGCACTTATTGTTTGCAGAAAGGGAACACCAAAGGGACTCAATGCATTTGCCTGGACTGTGTCACCAGCACTCCCAAGAAAGGTCACTAATGAGCACACCTCACACATGCTTGCTGCCACTCTCATATGCCAAACGCAGACATGCAGTGGTGAAGCTGCTTTGGAGACACCACACCTGTCACGCATGCATGCCAGAGATAGATGTCTCAAGACTGGCTGCTCCATTCCTGAGTTTGGCACATGTGAGGGGGAAGTAAAAGAGTGTCCCACCCTGATAGCAAGGGGACATGGCACAAATAAACCCAACATGGCCAAAGCAAGTTCACATGAAACATCTAATGAATACTTTTTTGCATTATTCTCCCAACTGGAGTGCTCCCCCTCTCTGTTCCTCAGTGCCTCTTACACACAGTCAGCATGCTTTGTCTTGTGAAATGACACCCTGACACCCTGTTCACTGCACAAAACTGAACAGAGTTATTAATTTGTTCCTTCCACCCTTGATGCTAAAAGTACAGTGGTAAGCTGCTGTTTGGCAGAGGGGATGGCTCTAACTTTTGGGTTAGAGACATTACTATGCTATGTAAACCTGTGATTAGGAAAATAATACGACTGATAGGATTCCTCTTCTCACAGTATGTGACTATAATTATATATCTACAGCCCTCAGAGGCTTGTGTGGGAAGGGAAATCTTATTTTTTTTCCCTCTGAAGTCACAATATTTTAAAGGAATTACAGTCCTCCATGGAGGAAGAACTTAGATGTTTCAGTAGGTAGCAGCAGGTGTTGTGTCAGCAGAGATGACAGGCAGTATTAAATGCCAGATGAGAGCTATGCTCCATCTTTCCTCCATGGTCTGGAAGGGCATGAAGACTCTTTTAGCTAATAGCTATGATTTTGTCATTAAGGAGAATTACAGAAAGTGCAAAACCACTGTGTCTAATTTTGACTCGAACAGGCTGATGTCTTTAATTACAGTCTCTGTGGGAATGTAGGAGATGCCAGTTATGGCTGAAGCCAAGTTTTCTTGCTTGGCACAGCTGATCTGATCCCAAGGCCACATCTGCTTCAGCTTGGTGAGTATGTACACATTTGACATACTGTCCTATCATGTCATGCTGTCCCTCAGATTGCAGCATCATGTTTGAGCTGTTTACTAATCTTTATGCTTTGGGATCATCTCCCTGAAGAGGTCTTTGATTAAGAAAATATGGCTAAATTCACAACCCTTTCTACTTTTATGCACCTTAGTAAAAGAAGCAAAGCAAGGAGAGAGGTCAGGGGGTGTAACTGGCTGCTCTGAGGAATGTGTAGCGTGTGAAACAAGAAAAAGTTGTCAAGATGACAAGAATGGAGAAAGGACTTCTATTTTGTGTATAAATCCAGACCTTCCTGCACACTTTCTAGAGCAGAGTAGAAGCTAGTGGTTTGGGTCTTGGGTCTCATGGTCCTAGGGCATCCTTGCTGTTGCAGTTCATCAGTACCATTAGCTCCTGTCAGATGGAGGCATGCATAGAAACTGAGATATACAAAGTCTACCCTCTCCTTCAAGGAATAAGCAGCAGCTGACAAACTTGTGCCTGCTGATTTGTAAGGGCTCAGTATTTTTGAGGTGGAGAAGGGGGGACATGTTTTGATGGAACTGGGCCCAGAGTAACCTTAACCCCTCCCTAACAGTGCCAGCCTGGAAGGTTTCAGAGAAAGGTAAAGCACATGGCATTCTGATGGACTTGGAGCTCTGCACGGGCCATCGACCACATGCATTATCCTGTAACGGGAGCTGCTGTATAAATAACTAATTGCACTGGAATTTTATAGTGCTTATATAGCAGAGTCATCACTGTGACATGACAACATTACTGCGTGTAAATCCAATTAGATTCCAAAGTGCGCTGTGTAACTATAATCGGCCCCTATGGAGCAGCATTGAAAGGACTACACAAGGCCATGAAACTAGATACTAAATTACAGTCAATCTAGCCCCTCTTTAGTTGCATTAAAATGCTAATGTCACTGTTACATGGGCCCATTTACCAGGGACAACTGCTTTAGCTTGTAATACCGAAGCAAGCAAACTCACTGCACAGTCTAATGGATTTAACTGCTCTGCACAGATGACTGTAAGGCTCCTAGGAACACACTGACACCTCTAAACATCAACTCAGCAGACTTTCTAAAATATTAATCAAGCTCTGGATGATTTCAATGAAACCAAGTTGTTGATGAAACTACCCTTAGAGTTTCCTTCCTATGTACAACACTCTGGGCAACCCCTCAACAGGTCTGGACCCCTCATGACACATAGCTTTCTACTTTTAAACAAGCCTACTTTCCATGAAAAAGTGGCCACATAGTACCCTGACCCAGATCCTCTATCCACAAGTGCACCCTTACTGAAATGAAACTGTTAGGAACCGGGGAAAAGGAGAGGAGGCTGGATTGAAATGTTTGGGGCCAGACCCCGAAAAAGTATTTAGGTGTTTAAACTTTAGTTGAAATGAATGGGAATTCAGGTGTTGAATCTGCCCCTTAAAGTTCTGTAATAAACAACAATAGTCCTGAAATATAAATAGTAATAGTTAGCACTTATGCTTTATATTTGTATGATAATACACCCCGACACACGTGCACCACTATGAAAACATGAACAAATCATTTAAGTTAGCACTTCTCATCAAGGGCTTCCTAACTCTGAGCAAAGTTAGTAAATAAAAATAATAAAATTGGGCCCTTACATAACACTTTACATGCAGAGTTCAAAGCCCCTTAGAAAGGAAAGATAAGGATTCCCATTTTACAGATAAAGAAATTGAGGCTGAGAGGGAAGGCACATATAGTACTCCATCCACCAAATCATGCTGATATCAACCCTAGACCCAATAAGGTTTCAGTCATTTTTGGCTCATGGGTCACATTTTTTTTTTTATTTAAAAACACTTCTTTGCATGAAAGTAGTGTTCTTGGTTACCTTGACCTACGTTCCTAATTTAGGACATCCCCATTTGATAATGCTGGCTTTCAAGCATGGAGCAAATTCATCTCAGACATAAGTCATGGCGTTACATCAGGAGGGAATTGGATGTTACAGAAAATAAAGAGTTACATATGCCATTGTTTTATCTACTCCTGGGTATAGCAATGTTATCTACACTTCCTAGCTTTCAGCACTTGACTACAAGTATAGAGAATCTTCCATTATTTCTTTATCCTGAACAGATTTTATTTTTATAGGC